AAGAAACATACGCAAATGTAGTAAACTTCTGCTTGGTAGCACCTTTCCTGACAAAAGTTGCTATGGGTTGAATAATAGAATTGAATATTTTCTTGGTACATGATGGTCTGGCATATCGCAATCACGATTAATCGGACAATAACTCCGCAAAAACATTACCGAGACAACATTGTATTCTATTATGAACTCCATATTAGAATTTTATTTCCTCACAAGTATCTTTTCGTTTTTATTGTTATGTCTTCTACTTCACACCTTATAACATATATATTTTAACGATGTCTGAAACCTTGCAGCGGTCCAGTCGTAAAAATTATCATTTTACTTTCAGTATGCAGGGCTAGCTCACTAAATACATTGGCATTAAATATTCCTTGAAATTTATAACTAAAGACGGGCAGGTCGGGTTTTTCAACGGCCATATGACACCGAGATCAAGCAAATCTATACGCGAACAACTTATTTCTGCACGTATTTGTCCTAGGGGTACGGACTGAAAAAGACTTAAACTTCTTATAAGTATAGGTTTAAGTATTGTTAAGTTCGTAGCCCCAAGAAAAATACGTGCAGAAATGATTTGTTCGCTCTCGTGCAAATTTGCTTGATCACGGGGTCATTCCCTGATGCATGCGAATGGCCGTTGAAAAACCCGACAAACGTCTTCATTTATAGATTTCAAGGAATATTTAATATGCCAAGGTACTTAGTGAGCTAGCCGTACAAACCGATAGCAAAATGATAATTTTTACGAGTGGACCGCTGCAACGTTTCAAACTTTTTTTTTTCAGGTAAATTTTGCATACGGTCGGCAAAGATTGACGCCCTGACCGAAACTTAAGTTTTGTCAGGACGTTTTGCGCTGAAGGTCGCGTGTGATTGATGACCGCTGTAAATTTTTTTAACCAGAGAATGCTTTTTTAAATTTTAAATATGTGCTTATCCCGGTTACTCGTCCATTTTTAATAGTACTTTTTAAGCTGCAGTGGAACGGCTTGTTAAATGTGACGCAAAATTAATTCAATTTTTATTGCATTGTTCTGATCGCAATGACTAGAGAGTCGAGCTCGTGGTCGGTGCAAAGCTTGTCTTTTGAAACAAGTCGCTGCTTTCTCTTTTGAGAGAGTGGCCAATCTAGTGTTAGAAAATGGACTGCGTGAAACGTGAAGATTATTGGGAAACGTGAAGTTTATCGGGAAAATCTCTTGTGTTAGAAGCAATCGGAAGATTCCTGACACTAGCGCCATTTCCTACGTGCTTTCCACGTCGGTCTTTCTTAGGAGTTCTTCATTAATCATATTACCTTTAAACACCTCAAAATGGCTATTTGATCTACGCAAGATCTCCCTGATCTAAAGCCAACCTGTTACTTCCTCAGTTTTGCATATATGTCTTCAGCCTTTCTAATATGCATGAACCGGGTTAATACCTTGCTTGAAACAGACAGTTGCATAATACCTCTCCACTCTTGCTGAGGTTCTCCTTTTTAGGTGCCCTGATCAAAAAGTCTTGAGTTCCACTCATCCCGATCTGGTGTAGCTTCCCTCTCCTAAATCACAAGATATCTGCTATAGTACTCGGATAAACTTTCAAAATCTCAGGGAGACGGTCTCCACCTGCAGCCTTTCCATTTTTAACTTTCTAACTCCATTCTTAATCTCATTCGTAGATATTCTATCTCAGTTGATACTAAGCTCGTCATCATATCGTTCTCCGTGATTGCTGTTCTTATCTGCGGGCTGGTCTATTCAGTACTCTTGAAAATGTTATTTCCACCTGTTCACTTGCTCCTCTTCTTTCGACAACATTTTCCCATCATCCTTCCTCGGCTTTGAGTGGCTTTTGTTCTTTACGGCCATTCTTTTAGTAAGGTTAAACTCTAAGGACCCTGAAACGATTAGAAAATATTCTTAACTTATCTTAACAGACGCAAACACAGCATCAGGAGTGGGCATCTATACATGATTCACCGAGCGTTACATCATCATAAAGAAAATACAGCAGTGAATAACAAAAAAAAAATAATAATAACAAGCAAAGTTGGAAGAGATGCCTTCGAGTGGCTCTTGCGTAACTTACAAAATCTTAAATATCCTACTAGCCCCTAGTGATTCATCATAACTGCAAGCACGCCTAAAATACTTCTACACGATTGATACATAATGAACATACTCCAGTGTAATCAGCAAAACGTAACAAAATATATTTAGGCAACTCCCCTGAGTTCTGTGATGTAACTGCTTCGATCCTTAGCCTGTTGTGCTACATCTTCTCTCCCATTTATTTTTCTTGACTTTCTTCTCCCTCCTCACTTGTTGTTTCACTTTCACGTTTAGTAGCGTTGTGGTATGACTGACGCAATGAAATTACGTTTCACTTATTTTTGTTTCCGTAGACAAAGCCGTTATTGAAGGTGGTTCAACAGCCCAGGCACGCCTAAATACGCAAGATACCAAGGCTGCTGCGGCAAAGTCAGGCAATTCTACAAAGCGATTTCTTTATCTTACTCAAACGGAGCAATGCCTTCCTCC